TATCACAAATTTAGCAACAGTTTATACTAAGAGGGAGATTGCTGAAAGTTTACCACAAATATGATAGTTAATGATCTTTATGTGATGGAACATTGACAATAAAAGTTTAAAAAGTAAAGATACATATTTTTTATTTGTATATTTCAAAAATTGAATGTAGATACATTAAAACATTTATGTTATATTATATTAGTTATATATATCGTCATTTGTTTCATGCTTTAGTTGCCATGTATGTTCCATTGTAACCTGGTCCCGCCTCATCTGAAATTCCTGGCTCTGCCCCTGAGTTTGCTGCCTTAACAATTCCAATCTCAAAGGGTATTTGCCACTGAAGTGGCAGAGAAAGCTATGATTATTTAATGATATGCAACTCCAATCTTGAAGTCTGTAAGGCATGACTCCCATTTACCCCTTCTGTTCAAAATTGAAACCGCAAAAATTTATATGTTCCTGATCTAAAACACTGAGAAGCCCTTGATGGAAGGGAACAGTGCCCAATTATACCTGCCAGTGTTAGTGCTTCATGCTTATATGTCAAGTGACAGTTAGGGTTTCAGATGGAATTTATTATAAGATAGTTAAGTGTTTGAAAGGCTATGGAGTTTTAAAGTTAACATGGCCATAAATTGAAGGGGCTTCTACGCAACCTGACCTTATAGCTACGTTGGCAGAAGATTTATCATTGAAAAGCATGAATTTTGATAAATTTATATTGTTTCAAATTTTGTTAACTAGCTGAAAGAGCTTGCAATTGGTATGACTCAGGTTCTGGATTGGTCAAGAAGAAGGGATTTAAAGGTTCCTTTGCGGAAGCTGGATCTTATGCAAAGGTACATCAGAGGTCTTAGTGGCTTTTTTTCCTGGTTATGATACTTTCTAGTCCTCTCTTGTCTTTAAATCATATAGTTACTTTTTTTAGCTGAGTTAATTTCTTGTCTTTCCCCATTAGACATTTGCAGTTTTGTCTGGAGTACACAGTTTGGTTGTTTGCCTCTTGAAAAGACTTAGAGGAAAGGATGATGGTATGCAATTATAACCAGTGAAGTGTCGCTTTTTCATTTTATTAGCATTGTTCTGCTGCTAATATTACTACCTTTTAATTGGCAGTTATTAATGCTGGGGTAGCTGGATGTTGCACTGGTCTTGCTCTAAGTTTTCCAGGTATAATTTTTAATATAATTTCTAACTTTTTAGGTGATGAATTACCCTTGCTCTTAACCTTGTATGTTCACCCTTTACCACAAAAAGAAGCGAACAAGAATTGCTGATCTGGTTGTTGGGGTTCTGAATGGCAAATGTCCCCCCTCAATAGATTTGTATTTTTATGTCATTTTCTGTGTTTTCCAGAAGCAAGGGAGTGGATTCTCTCCTCTTCCCTCCCTCCTCTCTTCCTATCTCCATTATTGAATTAACTTTGAATAGTTGAAATTCAATATTTCGTAAACCTATTATTATATTGAATAACGAAAAACTGAAGGCTGTTGTTAACTAAACTGTTTTATAGAGTGAGTTTTTTTTTGCTTTACTGCAGTTTTAAATTGTTCAGATTAGATTTTAACAGTTTAAATTTTTTTGTTTATTTAATATTATAATAATAGTTTCAAGCTTGATCTAGTGGTTGACATGGGAAGTAGGGAGGAAGTGGGGCGACGGGAGTGGAGGGAATCCTCTCCCCAAGAGCAAGCATCTTATTTGTTAACCAGAGAGGCAATTGCTCAGCTTTGTCTCAGATTAGGGAGTCCAGTACAGGAATGAGTTATTTAGAGTACTTTTGATAAGTTTTAAACAGCATAGTGAAGTACTGTTGAGAAGTCCTACTTTTGTTTTTGCTGTTGTCTTTTTGCATTTGCCTTTGTTGCTATTGCTTATCCTCTAGCATTCTCCAGGTGCACCACAAGCTCTCCTGCAGAGCTGCCTCACTTTTGGGGCATTTTCTTTCATCATTGAAGGGCTAAACAAACAGCAGCCAGCACTAGCCCACTCCTTTTCCAGGAAAACAAGAACCCAGCACAGTACTGCACATCCTCCACCGTCTGCACTCCCCCTTCAATTCCCACTTCCGGATGAAATGAGAGGAGCTTTCTCCTTCTTCTACGAGTCTTTGAAGAAACGCAGCAAGGGACCTTTTCCAGCATGTCATTGAGAAATCGAGGGTTCAGGTTTTTTTCCAGCATCTTGTAAATAAGATGTGTACCTTTCTTTTTGCCTCTAGTTTAGTTTTCCTGGAGCTTTTGTCAAAATTTTATGTAATTTGACGGTAATCATGCATTGTACCAAGGATATCTGTTGTTGAATTATTGCTTCTGTATTTCAAAAAATGGAATCTTTAGGTGTATCTTATTTTTTCTTTATTGGCTCTCTGCTGATGCGAGAGCCTTTCGCCAATTGTCGATTGTAGTTCTGCGAGGCAAATGGTGATGCAGATATTTTAGCTTGTTCGCTTAGAGCGTTGAAAATAAACATGGCGTACTGCAATCCGGCTCCTCCTCTTTTCCCTTATGGTCGGCTACCCTCCTTTACCCCGAAACTGCATCGTGTTGGGTTAGAAACAGTGGGGATAGAGCACCCAACACTAAAATATTTTTTCAGTAGCGTCTGGTATTTTAAAAATTTTTTCAGTATATGCCACATCCTAAAATACGTTTTTGGTAGCAATTTATATCTAGTATCTAACATCCTAAGGCATTTATCATTAGAATATAATACCTCAAAATGACTTTTAATGCAGTATCTTGAAATATTTTTTTCATCGTTACTTAATATCTCTTAAAATATTTTTTTAATAACACTCAATATTTAACACCTAGCATTGTGAAATATTTTTCAATAGCAACTACTATTTTAAAATGACTTTTAATATATTTAGCACTCTAAAATACTTTTCGGTTAGGACTCATTATCTCTTAAAATAATTTTTAATTTTTAGTACAATTTCATCTTTAAGTTATTTTTTCTTAATTACTAAAAAATTCTCCATGGTGTTGGATGGTTTTAAAAAAATATTTTAAAGTGTCGATTATACTAAAAAAAATTAGGATACCAGATACTGTTAAATATTTTAGTGTGAATGGTTAGTGAAAGAGAGGAGAAGAGAGAGAGAAAAATAGGGGCTACGTAAATAAAAATTCTTTATTTAATCAAATCAAAATTGAATAATCTATTTTTAGAAATCTCTACAAATAATAGAATAATTTTACTTCTAATTCTAATTCGCAAATAAATCAAATCATAATCCTAAAAAAATAAAAATGATAACGATAATTCTAAGATATCCGATTTTATTGAGATAATAAAAATATATAGAAAATAAATAATTAAATAAACCCTAATTCTAATGAATAAATATCCTTATTCAAATCTTTAATGGATGACTCTAAATATTTAATTAAACTCTAATAATCTCTTATCTCATACTCCATTACAATTTGAATTCTGATGAGAATTTAAACTTGCCTTGTGAATAAGCTGACAGTGTTTCTTGTTCCATTTGAATAACAGCGAAACACAGTTCATTTTTTTCGACTTTTCATATTTGTCTTTTTAAATATAAATATGAATATTAATTAATCAATAGTGGATACTAAAGTTTTGTTACCATCGAGTGTTGTGTGTGTTGGGATGATATTGGGGGGAATATAAATTTTGGACTGATTGAGGGCAGTGTGATTAAATTCATGTGTGAGATTTGAATCTAATAAAAGGAGTTAGTTTTATACAACGTAAAAACTAAATGTTCCAATGTTACTTCAAATAAAAGAAAACCTGTATTTAAAAAAAAAATCATGAATAAAAAATGTCAACATAATTCAAGCAGCAGTTTGGATCCTTCACCGCGTATTTAACAATTAGCTTTGGTTATACCCACAAAATTAATTAATGCCGGAGGAGGAATGTAAAAATTTATTTTATTTAATGAAAAACCACTTTGATTAAATTTCAAGAGAAGAGAAAAAGTTTAAAGAAAAATCACGACCAAAAAGTTGTACTATAAAATATTAAGAGTTAATTAATCCGCAAGTCCTTATAGTTTTAACGAATTTTGAATCAAGTCCCTATAGTTTTTTTTCTTTTTATTAGGTCCTTATACTTTTATCTTTTTTTAATTAGGTCCTTGTATTTATTTTTCTTTTAATTAAGTCCTTATAATTTCACTAAATTTTTAATCAGGTCCATGTAGTTTTAATTTTTATTTATTAATTAAATATAAACTTAATTAAGTAGATTAATACTGAAATATAAAATATTAATAATTAAATTAAATTAATAATTATGTAATAAAAAAGTAATAGAATTAATTAATTCAGGAATATTTTTTAGAACAATTAATTTTTTTGCTGAAAAAATTAAAATCATTATAATAATTCAATATCTTTAGAATATTATTGTTTATAAACTAATATTAAATAATATATACTATTTTATGTTTATATAATAGTACTATTAGAATTTATAAAATAAAGAATAAAAAATTCAGGGACTTAATTAAAAATAAAGTGAACTTATAAGGACTTGATAAAAAGAAAAATAAATACAAGGACCTAATTAAAAACAGGTGAAAGTATAAAGACCTGATAAAAAGAAAAAAAATTATAAGAACTTGATTCAAAATTAGTTGAAATTATAAGGTTAATTATCCCAAATACTAATAGATTGAGAAGAAATGTAGAAAAGTTATGTCCTTTGCTCAGATAATACCCACGTCTCGTCTAATATTACCAATGAATACATGATGACCATATAAACAAATGTATCCATGGATGTATCTTATTATTATTATTATTGTTATTAAAATTGGGTCTCCAAGATTTAGGCTGAGCCCAATAATTGCCTTTGTTTTCGGTCCATAACGGCCCAAAATGGCCAGGTGGATCAGGTTATATTTGCAATTTTACAAAAGAAATTTGTAAATATTAAAATGGGCCTTTAATGGACTTTTGGGTCAGTCTTTACAGCCCGTAGTGTGTCAAGTATGTGAATATAACCCTAGCTTGGCCATCCTCGTCTGCTGCCTCGTTGCCGTTTGAACCTGAAACACTCCTGTAGTCGTTCTTCATCCGCATTCTGTGTTTCTGTCAAAATGGGTATGTTCTATGTATATCTAAATCATTATTCAAGTTCTTTCCCTGGGTTTTCAAAGCTTGGCGTTCTGATGGCCGTGAATTTACAGGTATCTCTCGTGATTCCATGCATAAAAGGCGTGCCACTGGAGGCAAGAAGAAGGCTTGGAGGAAGAAGAGAAAGTAATTATTTTCCCCTTTTGTGTTTTCATTGCTTTAACAATATTTGGAACTTGAATTCGCTTCCCTCTGTTTATTGTGAAGTCGGAGATTATGATACGTGGTGATGTGCTTTTTACTGATCAAAAGAAGTGGATGTCGCGATATATCGTCTTTTATTAGCCTGGTTGATTATTTATAATGTCCTAGAATCAATTCTGTGTGGAAAGTTTACTCAGTAGGAGATATGATTGAGTTGTTTGATTTATCTGCTAGTATCTGTTGGTTGTGAACTACTCTAGTATCTGTTGGTTGTTGTTGTCTTTAAGTGGTTATTCGTTTAGTTTGAAGGGTAAACTATAGTTTAAGCTAAGCAGGAGGCATACGAAGCTTTGGAAAATTACAAGGATGCTCAGATTTTCAACCCTTGGTTGTTTGATCCTACCCCCTATATTGGTTCATATTGTTCCATTATGATAAAACTGAGGTCAAACGATCAATGTTGGTCCAGATTGGATAAAGAAATCAGACTGGTGGATTGTACATATTTGTAATGCAATATTTACTCCTTTTTTTATTAACGCTAAACAGTGTTCAAAGAGTCAAGTGACCTGACATTTTTCTTCACTGGTATTCCTTCGTTGACAGGTATGAGCTCGGAAGGCAGCCAGCAAACACCAAGCTATCAAGCAACAAAACTGTGAGGAGAGTTAGGGTTCGAGGTGGGAATGTCAAATGGCGTGCCTTGAGGCTCGATACTGGAAATTACTCATGGGGCAGTGAAGCTGTGACCCGCAAAACTAGAATTCTAGATGTGGTGTACAATGCTTCTAACAACGAGCTGGTTCGTACTCAGACATTGGTCAAGAGTGCTATTGTGCAGGTTGATGCAGCGCCTTTCAAGCAGTGGTATCTCCAACATTATGGTGTTGACATCGGTCGCAAGAAGAAGACTGCAACTTCCACCAAGAAGGAAGGAGAGGTAATGCAATCTCTTAGCTCATATGTTTCAACTCACCTGCTGGTAATGCATATTTGATTCTTATATAGGATCTGGTTTCCAATTCAAATAATGTGCTCTGATATATTTTAGGGTAGCTTCCAAATAGTGGATATTGGGAGTGTTGTTATGTTACTTGTGTGGATATTACTCTAGAGATGATGCTTAAGTCTATGACTGCCTCATTCAATTTTGTTGCTCAAGTTATTACATGTGCATCATGTTGATGCTTAATGTTTCTGTTAACGTCTTGTATATTTATTTAGACGTGATAAATAGATCCTGTTTTAATTATATGTTCAAGTTATGCAAAGTTTACATGTAAGAAATGCTGGATTTTATACTGTTACTTTTTGCATTGTCTGTGACTATGTTGTAAAATCTCTAAATTGAGGGCACCATATGAAATACTACTTTTGAATTCGACAGGATTATCATTAGATTATTGTTTTCAAAATTTTCAATGTACATATCAATATATATATATAAATTTTATGAAATCACACTATTTACAAGCCGTTAACTGTGCAACTGATCTGAGGTTACTTGTAAATGCATGGGACCCACAATAGTGTATGTTACTTATTTTTAAGATTTCATATTTCTTAGCAAGATAACCTTGGGATTGTTCTTAACATCAATTCCATGTCTCCTAATTAATAGGAAGGTGAAACTGCCACAGAGGAAGTGAAAAAGAGCAAGCATGTATTGCGAAAGCTAGAGAAGCGACAACAGAACCGGAAGCTGGATCCTCATATTGAGGAACAATTTGGAGGTGGTCGTCTATTGGCTTGCATCTCCTCTCGTCCTGGTCAATGTGGCCGTGCAGACGGGTATGTGACATTCACTCTTTTTGCTATCAAGTGATTTTCCCTAACCATTTGGTTTTTTGGGGGGGGGGGGAATCACTTGAGGCATCAAAGCTCAGATTGTTCTACTGTTTTGTGAACTCTCTAATAAGCTCTGGTTGGGCGGGACAGAACATCACAAGGGGGAGAGAGAAACAAAAAAGAATTGCATTACATTGATATTATTTAATAGCATTATTATCATATTCTGTGTGGCAATCATCATCTATAAATGGACTGCTGTCATCACAAAGAAAGAACGAAAATAGTCAGATGCTTGTTGTCAGGTTTAGCGTTTAGGGTTGAGCTTGCAATATGGACTCGCTTTATGTTGCACTAGTACTTCGAAAAAGGAGATATGTATTCAATACAATATGCATATTAAATTACTATTTCTAGGCCTTAAATATAATACCTACTTAATTAACTTGGGTAGATTAAGAAAACTAGTTTAATTAGTTATTTGTCAAAAGTATTCATTGTTTTTCCTGAAATGCCCTTTTAAATCATTTTTATTGAAATTACCTCTTAATGCAAAGTCCTCTAACATATGCAATTAGTAGGGATAGTTTGGAAAAGAAATGGCAAGTATGGGGGTGCAAAATGGATCGAGGTCTTACATTTAGAACTAAACTCAACTCCCAACCAGCTCTTATATTAACATTTAATTTCAATTGGAAGTGATAGTTTTGATTTATTCTATACCTATTTTGGTAGCTTCTTCTGAAGTTATTCTGATTGTAATATCTGTTGAATATGCATATCCGATTTCATATGCTTATTCTCACATATCATGTTTTCTTGCACCCTACCTGTGTAAATCTCAGGCCTAACTCGATTTGATTTCTGTCAGATATATTTTGGAGGGTAAAGAACTGGAATTCTACATGAAGAAGCTTCAAAGGAAGAAGGGCAAAGGTGCCGGTTCTGCCTAAGATTTCTCCTTTCTTGTTAATCAAAATTTCATGTTCAACTTTCTGTATCAGAAAATTCGGATCAGTTTTGGCATTTCTACATTTTTGGAAGCGTTTGAGATATATACATGCGTGTTTTGATTTTAGTTTAGAGATGACTGTTATTAACAATGCCACATGCTTCTATTTATCATCATCCAATCCATTGATCCAAGAAAGACGTTATGATGCATTGACCTTCATGATTTTGTTCTCTAGCATTGTGAGGTAGGATTCTTGCATGTTTTTGCAATGAAATACTAAATTTCAAAATCAGACTGAATTATACTGGTTACATGATCATTGAAATGGTAAAAATATCAATGGATAATGAATGTTGAAAGTTTTATTCTTAATTGTGCTTCCCTTGAATTATTCTATGTTGTTATTTACTCAAAATTCTAGTTTGATCTAAAAATTTAACAAGTATTTTGCAATTGTTGACAATGTATTTTGATTTGACAAGTCAATCTCCGGTTGGATTGGGTTGTATTTTTAGAACAAAATTTTAAGTTATCCTAACAAGTTAACGAGTTCGGGTTTTATAATAGATGCCATAAGTGAATTTTCATAGATCACTGCTCAAATTTTGAGTAAATGATGACTAAAAGTCACTTGTTAAAATTGAAACGTTGTTCTCAATATTTGAGTACGTTATTGTTGGTTGCCGAACAACATTGCGTCAAGCGTATTTTAGTATTTTCTTCTTCCATTGAAATATATTTTCACTGGAGAAATTCCAAAAACAAGTCTCTTTAATTTTAAAATTTTAAATTAGCGTTGTTTACTATAATAGTAATTGACCACACTTGAAAAGTAAAAGACAATATATTTTTGTAATCATTCTGATTTGTTTAACAATTTTGAGGATATTTTATTATCTTGTTTTTTCTATTTTCATTTCAGTACTGTGGAAGAATTTCAAAATTGTATTCGATCAAAATGCCATTATCTTCCTCTTGGGGGCTTTAATGGTTTTCTCCCAAATTTAATTGTCTAATTTGCAAATGAAAATGATGCTCCTAAAATATCGATATATGAAAATCATTTCTCATATAATTTGGGAATGTTATTGTCATTATATTTTGAAACTTAACCGTCTTTTTTTTTTTTCTTGGAAACCATAGTGGTTATCAAATTAGTATTTTGAAGCTTAACTGCGAAAATATTTTGTAGCTTCGCAAAACAGTTTTTATTTCGAGGCAGAAAGCTTCCTTACTTTCTGAAGAAGCCCCTGCTTACCCCATTTTGGGGAAGCAACATTTTTGGAAACTTAAATATTATCTCCAATCCTAAATATAAGAATAAATATAAGATCTCAATCCATTTTATCTCTCGTATTTATTTATTTTTTCTCATAGTAGTTCTCATGTACATGTTAAAATTTTTTATTCTATTTTACATGATTAATAAGGATATTTTAAAAAGGAAAAATTGCAAATAAAGACCCTCCAATAATAAAATAGCTATTAGGGATCCTGAATTTGGAAGAAAGAGAAAAAAAAAAAAAGAGGGCATTTTAGACATTCTACATCATTTCATATTTACAATTTGAGACCAGGTCCTTTGAAACTATTTTCCAAATTCAGGGTCCCTAATAGCTATTTTATATATTAGAGGGTCTTTATTTGCAATTTTTCCTTTTAAAAAAGACAATACTAATTTATTAAGATCTAATTCAACTGAGTTTTTTAATATTCAAAAATTAGTTATCTAGCTATTATATTAACAACTGATTGTAGTAAATTACAACAAACAATCAAGGTATATATTTCTTTCTCCCTGCCTTTCTTAAAAGTTATAACTCCTTTGGTCCATATCTAACATGATCGAATGAACTCCAAGTGAGTGGTGAAGCTCATGAATACACAAGTCACGCAAAAGAAAATGGAAAAATGATAAGAAAAAACCTGTTAAATTTCAAAATGATAAATAAGTGATTTTGACTGATTTGAGTAGTAAAAACCATTACAAATGTAATCAAAACCATTACAAGAATAGTCAGTATGACCTATTTGTCTTTTTAAAATTCAACAAGTATTTTTCTATCATTTTTTCAAAGAAAACTCCAATTCAGCTTTATTTACAAATAAAGAAGCCGGTAAGTCTATGAAATTTGGACATATTTTTGTTTTTTTTTTCCCCTGATTTTATTGAGGCTATTAATTTGTTGAAGAAGGGTTGTGATTCTAAACACCCTATTGAGAACCTGCTATATGAAATGAGATTATTGTTTTGTAGAGATTGGCAAGCTGTGATCAATTATATTTTGAGTAAATAACACTACGGCTGATCAGCATGTCAAGCATTCTCACATTTTAGAAGGGAATTATTACATTTTTCATCACACTCCATCTTTTCTTACCTGAGATGGATGGTGATGATGAAAGCTTATTCCCGATTGTTATTTTTTTTTTTTTATATTCTCTGTTTGTAAGTTAATGATATTTCATTAAAAAATATAAAGAAGTTGGTAATGATAAATACTCCTATGAATTTTGGATACAAGCAATCCGAATTGTGAATCTCCATAAAGGGTTCGATCTTAGCTCATAAAGACTCCTCTCATCATACTCGGCTCGTGCAAGTGAGACGGGGAGTAGTGTTTCTGGTGGTAATGGGAGATGGGCGGGTAACATGTAAAATCAGAAAATAATTTTTACTGACTTGTCAACTATACATAGAGGTGCTAAAAGTTTTTTTTTTTTGGGGGTGAAAGACAATTATTTATAATAATAAAATGAGTCAGGGTGCAGAGTAGGAAATAGGATAAAGACGTTGAATACATGAGGAGAAGAACAAATTTCTATGACAAGTCCTAAAAACAAACAGAGGAAAAAATGTTGCTTCAAGTGAAAGATATCATGCCATAGAGTTCCTAAAGGAGAGAAGCCAACTTGTTTAGGGACCAGTATAAGCTTGTTGACCATGATGGGTCCAGAAAATGGGAGACAAAAGAGATATTAGCTTGACATATCCAGTTTAGTGCTGCACGAACACAATGAAGAATGAACAAAAGAGAACTAATAGGTTTCCTTATCCAGATGAATCGGTGCATTGGAGATCCTTTGAAGCAAATAATATCATGGCAGCGTTACATTCCAGTTCTATTTTCCTTAAAAAGGATCACAGCCCATTCATTTGACAAGTGACATGTAATTAAGAAGCTAGACTTTTTTAAAATAACTTATAAATAGCTTTTCAATCGTAATTTATGAAATATCAAATAAATATGTAAAAAATTTTTTGTCCTGACAAGATTATAAGTAGCTGGAGAATCATTTGAAAAAGACATTGATCCAAAAATTTGTCGGTGGACAAATCTTTTCCTCATGCAAAGCTAAGTTCCTCTTAAGCCAGATTGTGTTAAGTAGAATGATAATGGGAGAGGATACTCCCAGCAGTCCCTCTCTCTCAGCTTCCAAATTGTCGCCGTTGAGATTTAATTTGAGTGCCACATTATTATGCTATTAAAAATTAAAAAAGTGCTAATTATAGCGTACAAATTTTTTCCAGCTTTGATTTTTTTAAAAGATTTTTTTTATCATGGAATATCCAATTTTTGGCGCCTACTTTATTTCAACTAAAGGATTTATGAGGCCCAGACTAATTCAGGTATTCAAATCACCGTAAAAGAGTATAAAAAATAAATAAAAAAATCCTCAACCACCAAATATTGATATACAATTTTTTAGACTTATCCAACTTCAACTGAAAGATTTATTTCAATCTAATATGATATAAATCGAGTCAGAGAGGATCATAAATAGTGGTAAAGCTATACCAACTATTTTTTATTTTAATTTTTAATTAAAATACTTGATAGCAGAGCTTTGTCTCCCAATCTTATCTGACTCAATTTATATCAGTTTGGATCCTAATAAATTTCACGGTTAAAATAAGTAGGTCCAAAATATTAGGTGTACTACTCCAAAAAAATTTAAAAAATTAGTTTGAAGGTACTTAATAATTTTATAGTATGAGTCAAATTTATTTTTAATTTTTAAAAACATGATGATGTGGCACAGTACGAGTTCTTAGATCAATCTGAACGCATCATGTTGGGATGCTGAGAGAGGTGCGGCTGAGAAGATCCGGACCCGAATGATAATGCCATGAACTTAATCATCATGCCCATCCTTGTGAAGTTGGTGAAGGGTGAGCTTGAGCCAAAAAGTGAAGCGAGTAAAATTAAAATCAAGCATTTTGATGGAGAAGCATCCAAACCAAAGTGTCTTCACATAAGGGCAAGAGATGAATAAATGTTCAAGGGATTCCTGTTGAGGACAACCAAAAGGACACAGGCCAGAAACATTGAGGTGTATGCTACTTACTACCTTCGGTCCTTAATATAAGAGCAAATTGATTAATTTGAGTAGATTAAGAAAATTTGTTAAATTAGTTATTTATCATAAATATATATTGTCATTCTTAGAATACCCTTATTAATAATATATATTAACTAGAACTATCATTTAATAGAACCTTTAACATATGTAATTATTATAAGAACTACTTTAAAAAAAAAAAAGATAAATATGAGAGACAAAATGGATTGAGATTTTATATTTAAGATCAAATCAAAAGTTTAGCTAGCTCGTATAGTAAAAAATGGAGGTAGTGTTACCCAAGTATTGTTAAAAAAAATTCATGGGAATTGAAAACTTTTTTTATAATACTTGTACGTAAAATACTAATGTTTACACTTTACAATCTTCAACTGCAACAACAAAAAGGTCCAAGAGTAACCAATAAATATCAATATTCAATCTAAAATGAAAAAAATCTGCAACAAGTTATTGTATTCATAAATTATGAATTATCAATGACAATACCACTTTTCACGCCGTAAACCAATTTTTGTTTTAAGTATAGCATCATATAGCGTGATCTTATAATACTCATCCGGTTCTTAATATAGGACCTAATTTTTTAGTTGGTTTTGGTCCTAAATATAAAACCCATTTATCATATTTATCAATTTTCTCTAAATTATCCTTATGGATACTCTCTCAATCATAATCAAGTAGAAGAGAGAGAGAGGGTATTAAGAAATATGATTATGGTGTTTTAGGAAAAATGTGTCATTTTTCTTATAATTAACTAACTTACCTAACTTCCTTAATCTGATCAAATTAGTTAAATGGATCTTATATTAAAGACCGGAGGAGTATATTCTACTTCTTCAGTGGTTTTGAAAAAC